CACCCATTCCCGAACTTACTATAACAATGAATGCACAGTACAACGTACGGAACTACCCTCCCCCACCCTTCCCCAACCTGTCTACAATGAATTTTTACTAAAACGGTAGTGCCTAGGAGGGGGGGGCGCCTACTGGTAGTAGTCGTGGTGGTGGTGGTGGTGGCGGTGGCAGTAGCTGTATGGTAGTAGTAGCAGTAGAAATCGCAGAAGCAGCAGCAGCAGCAGCAGCAGCAGTAGTAATGAATGAGAATGCACTAGTAAGAACAGCAACGATAATGGCTACAGTGATAAGTATTGTGCAGAAGCTTTCGTTCGGTCATCATAAGAACGAAAGAATGTCAACCAAAGAAAGGGGTTTAGTAAGAGTACTAAGGGTAAAACGCACAGAAAACTGAACGAATGTTGTATTCCTCACTGCAAGACTGACAATGATCCTACTCAGAAGTGATAGCCACAGATTGTGGCAGTGCCATAGTCATGGTAACCACGGCATGTTTAAAGTAATGATGCAGGAGCAACCATACAGACAAAATAGTTGGAGTAGTGATAATGACCATTCCTACTCCTCAAGGCTCCCAAGCAAACGTTTCATACCATGACCTCCCATTGCTTGCCATACCTGAAAAATTCGGAAGGTGTGAGGTATCTGTCTTTGCAGGAAGTCGTTCATTCCGGCCAAGTGTTCGTTTACATCCTGCCTACGATATCCTCTGAGATCTCGGGTGAAGACAGGGCTAGCAAGGTCCACGGGGCCTTGGCTCATGCGAACAGACTTTGATGTGACTTCGTGGAGCAAAAGCTCTAAACGCATCATACTCGTACTGTGGAAGCTGGAATGTGCTCCGGATCCAAGAGAGTCAATCGCGCCAAGCAATGTACACCTAGCATTGATGAGCTGGGTGGCAGCAACATACTCCCGCCGGGCCAAACAAATCCGGAAGACTCCCTCTTGCTTTCTAACAAGTATGGATTAACAAGTCCGATGGGCAATAATAATGGGGTGGCCATGAAAATACTGTGCGCGTGTACTACTTAGTGCCACCCCCTCCCTCCATGTCTATTATTGCGGCCTCCCCCCCTGTAGACCAAATGGCAACACAAGTTTGGGGGGTTATTGTTGTCGCGTTAGCATTATTCAATTGTTTTTTCCTCATCCCGACTTGCTCGTTGCATACCAGGACCACACAAAGCATGCCACCTGCTGGAAACAACGCTTCATCATGCATATTTGCGCGTGGGTTGCCTGAAGAGGCCAAGATGGACACAGGCCCGCAACCTACGAAGGAGGCTGGATAGCCTCATTGCAAATGCAATTTCAATGCCATCTGCAGCTCGTCCCTCGACAAAGTTCGAGTTTGCATGGCCTGCATCTGGGAGGTTGCCGTTCCCGAGACACCGGAGTGCGCTGCAGATGTGATTGTGGGGTCAGTGTTTCCATGTCTGCATTCGCACTGATGGGAAGGGTTTCGTGGACAAAGAGCTGCAGCGATTGCCAAAAGCAGTGCGAGAGTGAACTCGTCAAATTGACAGCTGTCTTCCATCCATGGCAGGTTGGATGGACCCCGCGTGGGGCGGCTCAGTGTCAGCGAGGAGGCTGCTGGTTGGTAATCGCCTGCCCAGCAGCCCGCAGCCTCTGACTGACATGTAGAAGCTGATGTCTTGTGATGGCAGGCTGACCACCTCGCTGCTCAGCTAATCCAAGGCGGTGCGCAATGCAAACATGATTTTCAGTGGAGCCCAGTACCGGCGCAGCGGAGCAATGGTATGAGCTTTTCAGTGCAGCACGGTGCGGCGAACTGTTGCTCCGACTGTTTGTTCTTGGCTCCATTGGGAAGGCCCGAATCAAGCGACCTCGGTCACACCAGAGACCGTACAGCGGGCAGTGAGGTTGGACCTGTATCCGTGCATGCAGTCCGGGACATGCAGCCCTTCCGATATTCTTGCGATCACCTTCCGTTAGAGCTTGCGCGCCCAAGACCTCAAGCGTGGAGCATTTTGTTTTGCATGCGATGTACTTCTTCTTTCAAATGCTTGCAATGTACATGTGATACAGACGCAGCAGATGTTGTCAAGGGCAGCTGCTGCGCAGGCTCATTAGGCACAACTTACTGATGCAGCGAAAGCTTTCTGGCTTGCTGGAATGGCGTTCAGAGGCACGCAGCCATTCAACTGCTTGCGCTTGGGAGTGACCAGAATGTGCTTGCAGGAGTGCAGTTTGCTACATTACCATTACTACAAGTTGAGCTTGCTTTTGACCCTCGTTTTTTTCCCGAAGGTCACTGTCAGCAAGCTACAGGGAGAGATCGACCAGGAGGCCAGCTTATTAACGTCAAGTGCGAGATCTTTGTATCTCCTCTGGGCTCAACCTAACGACATGGAAGATCTTCAGCATACAAAAGAGTGTTCCTCAGTTGCGTAATTCTGTTAGACTCTGCGAAGATCTCATTGTGTCAGAAGAGATAGAAATGGAAGCCCGCTGAACACAGTGCTGGCACGATGAATCCTGACAAGCCCAGAAAATGTAGACACGTTTTTAAGTCCTCACCGGAAAATCAGAACAGTCTGTTCCTCACCAGGGCGTGCAGACGAGACATGAGCATTCAAGGATGGTGGCAGGCATTCATCATATGCAGGCAAGACAAGAACGGTCAGACATGATGATCGGCTTCATCAGCATTAACTCACCCTTTCTCGGAGTTTGAAGGGGTCAACGTCTGCAAGCTCCCCATCGCGTGCCCCTTCGCCTTTTAACGGACCCAAAGGTCTTGCAAAACGTGTACGTAGTCGAGCTGCCCTTCACCCTAAACCTCCAATTGTTTAGGAGGCCCAACATGTGTTTTCCCTCACCTCCAGACCCCACCCAATTGCTTGAGAGTAGGCATTTACAGTGTGTTTAAAGGACCCAACGGCCGACCTCAGCTCCAAACCCCCGCTTGCTTGGTACATATTTTGAGAATTTGAGGAGCCCAAGGTCCCAAAACGTTCGCTTCCGGGCTACCCTCACCTCCAGATCCCACTTCCCCGCAGCGCGGGCCCCCTCCGACCCCCAATTGCTTGGGAGATCTTGGGAGCACGCATTTTGAGAGTTTCGCCCCCACGCTCCGGGGACATGCAAGACGCCCATATCCCTAAGGGTCCATGTACCCAAGAATTAGGTCCCTTTGAAGGGGAAACACAGGGGTATTAGGGTTTAGGGTTTGGGGTCCATGTACCCAATAAGTAGGTACTCGGGATTTGGGTAATAGTAATTATAGTACAGGTTTTGGGTAAGTCTATGATGATTAGGTACTTGGACCCTTAGGGCCTTAGGGTATGCAAGTATCCCTTGACCGAGTGTGCAGTGAGCAACCCTCTTACGTAGTCTTTTCGGCTTTGACTGTATGTGGGCAGCCCTGCCCGAAGTAGCCAGGGAGATCCGATTTTGGAACCACCAGCCATCTTGTCCTTCCTTTGCCTTTCTGACTTTACTGGGGCTACTGCTCTTCTGCTGTGGACTGGGAATCGGATTGTGCACTGGCTGTGTGCTACTTAGTCGGCAGTGCCGGCGGGCCATTTCGCTTTGTGTTCACTGGCTGGCTATTTTCCTGGAGGCGCCTATTGCAACCTCAACCCTTGCTCGGGTGGACCCACTGCGACGGTTGCGGGAGTACAGGTCACAGTGAATGCCCGGCGCTGGCTCTAGTGACCAGGAGGTCGAGGAGCTTGAGCTCGCCTTTGGAGATTTATCATTGACTGTCCGCAGGCGCCGCACAGCAGCCCCTGCTTCTCCGAGGTCGACTGCTTCTACATCTTCCTTCACTGTGGTGCCGCCACAGCCTGAGCCTGATTCTACCAGGCCAGCCGGAGTACCCCTTGAGTCCCAACCTCTCGGGGATTGGGAGAGTGCCTTGCTGCAAGCTTTTGGGCCGACCGCTTTGGAGCAAGCTGACTTGGGGCCTCACAGTGTTTTCATTCGCAGGTTGCACGCAGCTGGAGAACCTTGGACAGCCCGAGCTCGAATAGCTCGTGGCGTGCGGGCAGGCGTTGCTGCTGCAGCCGTGCTTCGTGGAGAGACCGTGCTTCGCTCTGGTTGCACCCCTGGAAGCTTTGTGACTACCAGCTACTCCAAGTATATCAGCAAGCTGAGCGACCCTGCCACGGGCAAGTTCCGCACAGGTACTCTCAGCCACGGCTTTGCATCTAAGGTAGAGGGCATTCTCGCCCTCCTGTCCCAGGATGCTCCTGGGAGACCCCTGCCATTGCTGTGCATGCTGGGCCCCGACGACCCTCCTGCTTGGCGAGCGGCTGTTTTCCTGCTCAAAGCTCTGGGCCGGCGGCTTTATGATTGCCGCCCCGCACTTGGAAGATATCATCAGCTTCTTTGCCGCCATTTCAGAGGAAGCCGAAGGCCAGATCGATGGCCCCCTGCCGGTTGTTTGGAAGATCGTGTCAGTGGCATGCGAGACAAGCCGTCGCCGGAGGGTTGGCGAGGTGCCCATGGTGCTGGCAGACCTAAGCTGGGCGCATCTTGTCTACTTCAGGCGAGCCACGGCATCGCGACCACCTGCTGGAGTCGCCCTGCTAGCCTTGACTCACGAGGACACAGCTGTCCGTCCCATGCCAGGGCCGGCCAGGGAGGCTGCCGACGAATGGGTGACAGAGCAATTGAGTGACGCCACCTTCTTACAATACGCCACAGCCGAGGAACTTCAAGAAGACTTCCCCGAGGATGCCGAGCCTCCCGAAGAGGAAGATACTGTGGAGTCTCTCCGCGCACGCATCCGGCAGATGGAGTCCGCGCAGGGTGCGATGAGTGGAGCAGTGCCGGAGGCTGGAGCGACTTTGTCGGCGGAGGACTGGCAAGAGCTGCGAGACGTAGCTGGCTCACCGCCGACTCGCCTTGCAGGGCATGAGCGAGCTCCTCGGGCAACAGCGGCGGACAACGCCCTGGCCGAAGAGGAGCTGGAAGTCAGCGACATGTACGCCGAACGCAAGATACCAATGAAGGAGCTGAAGACGGTGCAAATCTTCACCCATTTTCTGGCTCACCAGTGGGAGGACTACAGGCGTCAAGGCGATCAGCTGGGCGAAGCTTGGGCTGCTCGGGGCCTGGTGATGGCAGAGCAACTGGCCATAGATCAAGGGAGAACTCAGTTGGGCCTCCTTTTGAGCGGGCTCCCCGACATCGATGTGTCGCACCTGCCTGCCCGGAGAACCGACGTTCGACCTTACGGTCGGTTGAGCGCTGCAAACTGGATGGCTGCTCAAGTGGCATTCCTCAAGGACGTGGACTACTTGGAGAGCCGGATGAAGCAGAGCCGCCCTTCAGGTCACCAGGACGCGCCGCCCGACAAGAGCGACGACCCGGAGGACAAGCAACCCAACAAGTCCAGAAGGCCACTCAGACGGGCCAAGGCCATAGCAGACAAGCCGGGAGACAAATCGGAGAAGTGAGTGCCGAGGTCGCTTCCTCTGACTATGTAAAGTATGACCGCACTAGTGCTGAGCACGGTGCTTCTTTTGCCCCCGGGTTCGAATCGAGCCGAGGTGTTGCGTGCTTAAGTTCATTTTCGAGTGCTGCCGGGACTTCTGATTCCCATGCGCCTGAGGCCACCAACCTTCCGCGCCGGGATGTGCCTTTTGGGTTTACCCCCGCACTGCCTGAGTTGGATCATGACCCCATTCACCTCCCCAATTCTCCTAAGCCTTTCAGGGATTGGGCTTATAGTTTTTTACGGGTGTCGGGGTCCGCCAGGGTAGGGTTGAATGCCTTCCTTGCCGATTCCTTTAAACCTGTTTGCAACATTGCCTGCGCTGCACCGCTTGGATCCAATTCAGGCACACTGTGGCCCTGTCCCCCACCTCGGAGATGGACAGAGCAAATGAGACATCTTTCCCCACGCCGCCAGCGCCGGATGCGGGAGCTTAAGCTGATCCATGATTTACTTAGGGTTGCCATAGGTACCCTTAACTGGATAGCCCTAGGTTCTCCAAAGCATTGCCCCGCGGAGGCTCGTGCTGGGATGCCTGTGTCCGAAGACCAGCTTGACATGCAGTGTGTGCTGGAGCGCCACATAAAACACTTTGTGCGAGCTCCTGGTTTTGAGGCCTCTCTCCTCGGCAGGTCGGAGGATCGTTTTGCACACTTGCTGTCTTTAGCTCAGGAACTACCTAAGGTGAGTCAGTCTCTCTCAGGTGTGGACCTACATGAATAAGTTTTGGATTTGCATGCCTCTTGGGACGGTTATAGCACCGGGTCGGCTTCGGCTCCTGCACCCGCTGATGACCCCCCTTCTGATTCATGTTCAACGCCTGGCACTTGTTCTACTTCGGGAAGACCAAGTAGCTTAGGTCAGTGTAAGGTGCCTGTTGGAGCCCAGTACAAGGAGGTCATTGCAAGCCGCATCAAATGGGAGAATCCGCCTTCCTTCAACCCGATCCCTTACTTGCCTGACCCCCTTGTAAAAGCTGCCTTCATCAATCCTGATACTTTGCGCAAACCACCTGAGAGTTGGCCGTCGCTTCCTGCTGCTCAAGTCCGGTGTAGCCGCTCGGAACTGATTGCTCTAGCCAGCAAGTGGGATTCGGTAGGGGCCCTTAAGATCATACCATGTGACTCCATTGATGCGCACGAAGCTGTTGGTCTCTTCGCCATCTGTAAGGATAGGTCTTGGGATAGGTTAATCCTTAACCCCACCGTGGTTAATTCCCGTAACCATGGGTATTCCCACTTTACCAAATTCCTTGCGCCAGGATGTTTGTTAGGGCAAACGCACCTAGAGCCTCATCAATGTTTGCGCTTGAGCTGTGATGATCTTACTGAATACTATTATACCTTCGAGGTATCTGCCCAGAGAGCTGCTAGAAACGCCATCAGGATGCCGCTACCTAGGAGTGCCGTGCAGGGTTTCCGTGCCTTTGACAAGCGGTTGGGGGCAGGCCCTTTCTACGTGTGTTTGGCCACGATGGCCATGGGCGACGCCCTGGCGGTTGAGGTGGCGCAGCAGTCTCATCACACCGTGTTGTCATCATTAGCAAACGCAATGAGGCCTACGGAGATTGCAGCATATCGCTCACCTTATCCTCGAGGTGACACGGCTGAGTACCTGGCTGTGGATGATCACCTAGTTGCCCAGAAAGTCATATTTCCCGAGCTCCGCTCCCATACCTTCAAGAGAGACTCTGAGATCTTCCGTGACGCAGAGCGTGCGTGCACTTCAGTTCGCTTGGTGCAGCATCCGAAAAAACGGAAGCGCAATGAGACCTCTGGGGTGTACTTGGGGGCAGATGTTGACGGCGTAGCCGGGCTGGTCTCTGCGCCGAGGCATCGCATCGGTGTTCTCATGTTGATCGCTGCCGAAGTGGTGCGCCGCGGGAGCTGCTCTGCCAGTTTTCTGTCTTCTTTGCTTGGGCTCTGGGTCCACGTCCTCCTTTTTCGGAGGCCTGCATTCTCGCTTCTTTCCATCTGTTTCCAGGAAGCTTGTCACGTGCCTCGTGACGAAGTCTTCCGTTTGGACCGGCGTGCATTGAACGAACTGCAGTCGCTTTCCTTGCTTGCACCTTTGCTTCAAGCAGACCTACGCGTGCAATACTTGCCTCACATCTATGCGATGGACGCATCGCCCAGCGGTGCTGGGATATGCGTCGCGGACGTGCCAACCCATGTATCCCGGGAACTATGGCGGCACACAGAGCAGCGCGGTTACTACACTAAACTGGAGTCACCCGCCGCGGCCTTGCTGCGAGAACAGGGGCACAACTGCGAAGCTGTTTTCGGCCCTCCCGATGCATCCGCTGCTCAGTTGATGTCAGGTTTCGTTGCACCTGTGCCCAAGCACTTGGCGGAGGGTTTGATTTACGACACGGTTGAGGTGTTCTCCGGTGAGGGGAACTGGTCTGCTGCACATCGTGCAGCTGGCCTCGAGACTCATCCGGGCATAGACATCGCTGGCCGCAATCTCCGTGTCATGGACATCCTGGATGATGCCGTTTTTCATGAAGTGCTGAGCTTGGCTTTGCGCCGTGTCGTCCGTGAGTGGCATGGCGCACCACCTTGCCTGACCTTCGGCGCCCTCAGACGGCCTCGCCTTCGATCCAAAATTAAGCCCCATGGTTTCCACCCTAATGACCCCCTCACCCTAACCCATAATCGCATGGCTCAGCGCACTGGGTTTCTGTTTTGTGTGGTTGCTAGGTTAGGGGGTTTCTTTAGTGTGGAGCAGCCAGGTTCTTCGGTGATGTTTTGCCTGCGCATCTTCGGCGTGCTTGCCTCGCTCGGAGCGGTCCTGACACGCTTTTGTTGCTGTTCGTACGGATCTCCTTTCATGAAGCCGATGCAGTGGCTGCGCAACAAGCCTTGGCTAGTTCCGCTGGCCGGTAGGTGCTCGTGCGCGCATAAGAACAGGCACTTGGTTATACAGGGTTCTTTCTCTGCTGAGTACCTTGCCGAGTTCAATGCCCGTTGCAAGCCTTCTGCCACCGCTGTGTTCGGCCGGGAGCCGAGACTGGGCGAGCCAGTTGCTGCCTTCTCAGCGTCGTACCCGTTGCCCTTGTGCCACCGCATGGCGGCTTCCGGCAGTCGCCAGGCGAAAGAGGGCAGTTGTGCTGTGCTGCCTCTCTCCCTCCGTGCCTCGGCTGTCACCGCCTTGTCAACTGTTTCTGCTTGCGAGTTGCCTGACCTTAGCGAAGTTGAGGCTGAGCAACGGCTCTTTCATGACGATCCTGAGTGGATCAATGATCTAGCCGAATCTTTGTCCTTCCGCGAAGTGCTCAGGTACAAGTTTGCGAGGCAGAGTCACATCAACGTTCAGGAAACTCGCACCTACAAAACCTGGTTGAAATACCTGTGCAAGCACCACCGTAGGTCACGTGCTGTTGGCCTGATCGACAGTCGCGTGTTGCTTGGCGCGTCAGCCAAAGGGCGCTCCAGCAGTCCGGCTCTTGCTCACGTTCTTCGCACGGCCTTGCCGTACATTCTTGGAGGCGGTTTGTACCCTGGGGGTTTGCACGTGTACTCGGCAGCCAACCGCAGTGACGGTCCTTCCCGAAACCGTCCCGTCGACCCTCCCTCCAAGCCTGTGCCGCTTTGGTTTGACCGCCTGTGTGAAGGGGACACTTACCTCTTCGACGTGTGCCTTGCAGCCTCTGCCGTTCCTAAGCAAGCAGCGCGGTGGCTTCGCTTTTTGCTGCTGCTCGCTGGCGACATAGAGCGTAATCCCGGCCCGGCGCCTGTGCCTCGGGGTCCTCTCGACTTGACGTCCGGCTTTGCAGCTTCCACGAGGCACAAAATGCACAAAAGCCTTGAAGCCTTTGCTCTTTGGCTCCGCGAGGAGCTCGGGCTGGCATTGCACCAGGCCTTGTCTTCTGTGTCTGCTGCCGCACTGGCTCTTAGGGGTTACGGTTTGCACTTGTACGCGGCAGGCCTGCCGCGGTACCTCCTTGTCTATGCCATCACCGCAGTTCAGGACGCCTGCCCTGAGTATCGGAATCATCTCACGCCTGCCTGGCAAATTGATAAAAAGTGGCAGCACGCTGAACCCGGCGAATGTCGCCCAGTCATCTCCCAGCCTATTCTTCAAGCCGCTGTTAGCGTAGGGTTGCTTTGGGGCTGGGGTGATTGGGTTGCTGTTACGCTTATAGGTTTCGTGTGCATGCTGCATCCTGCAGAGTTGATTGCCTTGCACCGCCGTGACTTGATTCTGCCAGCTGACGCCATGACTTGTGATCGCATAGCATATGTGCATGTTCGTAATCCTAAGACGGCAAGGTTTGCCCGCCGCCAGCATGCCCGGCTGGACGACGAACTTGTTCTCAGATTCATCGAAGCTCGCTTCGGGACGCTGCCCTTGACTGACAAGCTTTTCAGAGGTTCCATGCATACTTACCGTAGGCAATGGAATGCGATTATGCACCACCAGGGTGTTCCTCATACTCAGGCAGCCAAAGGGGCCACTCCCGGAGTGCTTCGGGGTTCCGGCGCGACTTTCTTGTATCTTGAAACAGAAGACGTTCAGCTGGTGGCATGGAGGGGACGGTGGAGCAAACTCAAGACAGTTGAGTTCTACCTCCAGGAGGTAGCTGCTCAGCTGCTGCTCCAGCAGCTGTCAGCAACGTCGCGGGCCAAGATAGCCATTCTGCGTAAGTATGCTTCTCGCCTCGTGGCCCTTCACTCAAATCCTCTTGATCCCGCGTAACAATTTTTTCTTGTGGCTACGCCAAGCACCCTAAAAGTGGAAAGGGGTCGTATGGTTTACGGTTAGGTCGGTTTTAGGTAGACCTGGTACCTCCCTAGGTAGGGGTTCCTTAAGCTTCTTTCCCTCCTTCCCTAGACTGTGCAACCCGTCTGTCCTGGCAGCCTTGTCTTTCCCCAGGCCAAAATGGCTTGGCGAGTGAAGAGCGGGAATCTTTGCGAACGCGGGCAAAACGAGGCTCTTGGGATGCAAGTATCCCTTGACCCGAGTGTGCAGTGAGCAACCCTCTTACGTAGTCTTTTCGGCCCCAGCCCGCCCTCCCGGTTGCCGAAAGGGGTCGTATGGTTTACGGTTAGGTCGGTTTTAGGTAGACCTGGTACCTCCCTAGGGGTTCCTTAAGCTTCTTTCCCTCCTTCCCTAACCTGTGCAACCCGTGTGTCCTGGCAGCCTTGTCTTTCCCCAGGCCAAAATGGCTTGGCGAGTGAAGAGCGGGAATCTTTGCGAACGCGGGCAAAACGAGGCTCTTGGGATGGTGTATGTTACAGGTTTGCGGCAGGCGTCGTACGAACCTTGAAACTTAAATCGCACACCCCTAAACCCTAAACTCCTACAGCCTAAACCCAAAACCCCAAAACCACCAAATCCTCAACTCCTAAACCGTAAACCATAAACCTTAAACTTTAAACGCAAGCCTTAGCTGTTTCCTTCTGCCCCCAAACACTCGCAGTCTCCTGAATAAGCCTTGCTATGTTGAGTCATAATCTATCCTTGTCGTGGTTGGAACGCCGCCTCAGATACGGCCAGTGATCCAGTAGTAGATCGGTTTGCAGCCCACCCTGTCTTAGTCACTGGTCATACTCAAAGCATGAGAGTCGAGAGACAGCCATGTTAAGCCCTCCACGTCAAAGCGAGAGGAGAGATGGTCAGGCCAGTTTGGTTCAGCAGCTGCGCGCACAGCGGCCCAAGACCGGAGGCTGGATCCAAACCTTAGCCATGGCATTTTCGTGATATCCCTCCTATGGGAAAAGGAGTCGCAATCTCTGGCAAGCTGCACTGTGTGAGATGATGGTGAGGCAAGCCATACTCTGCAGCATCGCCTGGGCAGGCAGCGCGTTGCCTGCCTTCAGTTCACAGCATAGTCCAACATTGATTACTGATGAGGGTGTTCGGTCAACCCAAAGGGTCTGGGACCTGCTAAGACCATCGTCTGAATGCAGACCTGTGTGCGGACAGGCAGAAGGCAGCGATGGTGAACTAGAGGATCTCCGGCTGCAGTGCGCAAAGCTGGAGCGTCCGCTTGCCGCATGGAAGTTGGGTTGGCTAGTGACTGCTAGTGGGGTTGGCCTGTCCGAATTCATGGAAAGCTCTTACGGAGTCACTTCTTTTTATTTTTCCGTCCCCTCGTCGAGACTCGTGCTGGCTGCATTGATATTGCTAATTGAGTAAAGTTGTAGGCTACCTGTTTCAGCAACAGCTGCAACAGAATTCCGAGCCAAGGCCAGCTACAAAAGGATGCTGACTCTGCCAGAGGCGAGCAGGCGCGAGCCTTGCCATAGACATTTCTCTCGATCCTTACATGCCAAGCTGCAGTGGAGCTGAAAACTTGTAAAGGGAATTTCAGAGTAATATCTACATTCAGCGGTACTGCTGAGCAACAGCAGCTGTGCCTCAGAGGTGGATGTAACACCTGGGGTTGCAAAATCAACTCTGTTATTCGATTTAAAGAAGGATAGGCCCGCAACTGCATCACCATCCTGGAAAAACGATAGAGAGCCAGAATTAAAGGATAATGTTCAAGACAGCACATCCAAGCCTTGCTCCGCCTAGACTCTAAGCCCCAGAGCCTAGACCACGACGTCCCCTGATCTAGAGCCAGAATTTGTGGAACAGGTGGTGTCCAAAACAAAAATAATACGACAGTCAAAGCGATAATGTTGGTTTCCCGGAAATAGGATTTGCTAGTCATGGCAGTTCCTGCCGAAGTTTTTCACTGTCGTTGAGATTGCAGATGAGTCGCAGAAGAACCCGCGTTGCAAAGGTGATCTTTGCACTCAAAAAGATTACTGGGGAATCAACCAACTTACCTTCACAATGCTAGCCCTAGACCTTAACCTACCATGCTAAGCCCCAAACCCCAAAACCTGTCGGCGTGTAGCGCAAGCACAATGAGATGTCCAGTAATAGTGTGTGCTTGCATGTTGTTGTAATACCGAAGCATTGTAATCATTGTAAGACGATAAAGAAGGAAAATAAAAAACAATAATGTCGTACAGGGGCAGCCCCACCTGTTGCGCTCAGGCCCGCCTGCGAGCGGAGCTGCAGGAACGGGCAGGGATGATGCTCTTGCAGGAGGCCACACTTGCAACTGGCTTTTGTAGGGATCTGCAGATTCGAGTTGAGCTTGGAAGGAGAAGGTTGCGAGCAGCATCGATGAGGTGCAGGCCAGGCCCCGGCCACGCAAGCTTCGTTGAGTCAGCACAGAGATGACGCAAAGCTGTCTGCGCATGATCGTCAAAGCAAGTGTGCGGGGAGCGTAGAAGCCTGGAAATCCCACTAACTACATCTAACTACCAGGAGCAGTCTTTCAGGTTGGTTCATTGCATGGCCCAATTAAGCCATCCAACCGGCAGAGGCTGTGCCCTGCTTGGCCAGCAAGCGAAGACACCACTCTTAGCTGATCTGCCGTCCACAATCAGCCGACCGTGTTGGTGTCACAGGCGTTTTTACCGTCTCGCAGAAGAAGTTTGATCAGTGGATGTCGACACACCATGGCCTTTGGCTGGAGTCAGCTCTGCGGACGGCCACATGGTTCTTGAACCTGCCAGGAATTGTGCAGTTACGTGTCCGGAGCATCCACAGCTGCAAGCGAGGCCCGCCCCTGCTGGCTTTAGCGCCCGGCTCGACTGAAAAGTTAGCCGGGTCCCTGGGGTTGGCATGCCTTGTGCGGAAGCGGGCTCCAGTCTTGCCAACTGCGGGGATTCGGCACCCTGTCTAGCAGTTGTTGGTGAGCCTCGTTTTGCACGGGATGATTGACGCACAGAGCTAGACAAGCGAATCAAACTTGCCGAGAACAAGCACGCGCAGCGCCGGATGGTTGTGCGATGAAACTTGATCGGCGTCACAAGTGACGATGACAGTGCTGAGACTGCCCCATCACGCATTTCGATACTGGACTCCTCTGATGAGTATCTCTAATGTGCCCTGCTGAGCTTGCTTTCCTACCACCGGTAGGAGTAGCCATCTGCATCGTCATATCCTGCAAGTCGACTGTACATTCCTGCAAGCCTCATGTGTAGCGCTTGCTACGCGCGTGTATGATCAGAGGACTGTCTGGCACAAGAATTGTCAGATGGCTGCCTGGATTTGTACACCGGTCCCGGCTGGCTCTGTTCGGTGGCCTGTGCTGGCGCGCAGCTTCCAGTCGCCGCACATGTATGAGCTGATGGCGTTTGGGATCAGAAGGTATCCTTCTGGAATTACAGCAGCGCCAAGCCCTTTACGCCAGAGGCGTGCATAGACATGAACCAATGCCGCTGTGCTTTGCAATCTTGAAGATCTGTCGCAATAGGCAGAGCACCTGCATTTGTGGTGCCTCCTTTGGAGAACCCCTTCTTCTCTTGATGCATTGGAATGACTGGTCCACCCCTTCGCAGGTCCTGGAGATGTCTTTGGCAGAAGCGTGGCGTGCAGTACGACAGGCACTTGCCAGCGCATGCGAGCTGACTGCATTTGCACCCGCCCCCGCAGGAGAGTCAAGCGGCAGAGACTGTCCGTGAGCAGGCTTTCGCTAGCACTGACCCGTCAGTCACACAGTTGCATGTGCCAACACTTTCTTCCCAGAGCGGCGTCGACCAGCTCGAGCAGCAAGTCCTTGCCCAGCAGCATCAGTGTGAGGAGTTGGTTTCTCGGCTGCCTCAAGATTTTCAGACAGCAGAATGGTGTTAAATCTGTTTGTGGACCTCAACTATTGTCTTGCTGCAGAAGCTGAGGGCTTTACATACTCTAGGGGTTTGTGTTGCGGCTGAGGAGATTGCTTGTGCGAGCACGTGACTTGGGTTGCAACCAATGCTGCTGCATAGTTTCTGTTGCATGTGCCGAAACGGAACAGCCTTCAGCTTGTGCTGACTGCGCCAAGATGTGCCCTTTGCATGCAACTTCTTCGAGAGGTCAATGGCAGCAGCAGAGGCAGAGTCCACAGCTGCACGGCTACGTGAAGTGGAGCAGGAACTGTCACAGCAATGCCTGACATTGTAGCCCGGCTGCCAGCTTGGCATGTCATTCAAGGGCACTGATGAGACATTTCGGGGGAGAGAAGCTTGTACTGCGCATGATGCGTGACGGCTTTCCCATCTCTGAGAAACAAACTCCTACACGCTTGCCCAGGAAAAGCGAGAAGGCGGAACTCATGGAGACCCTGGCCAAACAAGACTCCGGGGAAGGCACTGGGTTACAAGCAACTTGTGAGCCAACCCTGCAAGCCCTGCAAGTGGGAGGCTTCGCATCAGAAGCAACAAGCCTCCATGCCGAGAGCCTGGAGGCGGCCATGAAAGTTCGACTTTTGGTGCAGGACAAGGGCCCAAGGGCCTAAGCAGCCATGGCCCTTCTTTCTTGAGACCAACAAAAGCAATACAAAAGGCTCTTAGCGGTCTCGTCCAATGGATGACCCTAGGATTGGTGTTGGCCCATCCTTTGCTCGTCTTTACTTGATGAACCTGACGTGTCTTTCGAATGTTGAGGAGAACGAAGCACTGAGCCTGAAATCTGCGCAAGTGGAGGCCTTGGCTGCCAGGTAGAGTACGGTAGAGTGCATTCTGCCTACAGGAGCAAGGCCAGCGCGAAGCTGAAAATTGCCTTGGCCTTAACCCTCCATCTCCCACATCGCTGACTGAGTTTACACCTCTGTTTGCCGCCACACTGCCCACATTCGTCCGCTTCATCCCAGCAAAGGCAATATTTGGGTTGCTGTTTTGGTACTGGGCGAGTCATAACATGACTCGACGATTCAATAAACTCTGCCCCCGATTTGCCCAGGGCGTGCCAGACTGGAAGAGTTGCAGACTCGCTATTCTGCTGTCGAAGCTGAAGCGCGACAAGCAGAAATGGTACGGGAGGAATTACGCTTGAAAGCAGACGAGTTGACTTCCGCACTTGTAGACTTGGACACTGCCCGCAAGGGCCAGGTCATGGCTGAGGAGCTTGCAGAGTCGCTGGACAGGTCTTGCCGCGAATTGGTTGTGGAGCACAGCACCTGCCAGGCAGAGCTTGCAGAAGCGAAGCGACAGGCGGAGCAAGCTTTGCCTCTGAGTCCGCTCAGCTTGCCAACTCTGGCAAATGATGAAACGAGCTTTGGGTCCACAGTGGCTGCACTTCGACGTGCGCGGGCCTCGCTTGCAGGAGAGGCACTGGAGAAGCAGGTTTCGCAAGTGGAGCCTTCTATGCCTTCAAGCCCTCCCAGAGACGTCACCGCAGGCCTGAAGGCACTGCAACGCCTCAGGGCAGCAGCAGCGGGAGGCGGCAAAGCGAAGCCCGCTGAGGAGGCGAGCGAAGGCTCGCAGGCATCATCTCCATCTTCGGGGTCGAAGGCCATCACCAGCCTCATCGCGAATCGCAGCAAGGCAGATCAACAGGTCATGTTCGTGGCGAGCTGTAGGCATCTATAGGCCATAATATAAGCAAATCTTCGTATTTGTCAGCACACCTGTCCTCATGCTTTTGGCAGGCCAGCAGCCTCTGGCTGAAGGCAGCGCAAGCCACTGGGGATTCCGAAGCAGCGGACTAACGCAAACAGCATGAACAACCTCCGCGGTGAGGCCTGCCCACACTTCAAGGCCATCATGGTTTATTTGCATGGTGGCGTCATGCTTGACTCAAGCTGAGATGGCAGTTAAAGCCTCAGCTGTTTCTGTATGGCTTGTGAAACATGGCCTAGTGGAGCCAGCAGAGAGCCTTCGTCCGTGCAGCACGACGCTTTTTCTCACGTGGACCTCCTGCAACTCCGTGATTCGACGAGGAACTGTTAAGATCAGCTGGCCGGCACGACTGATCCTGGGCAAAGACGCTTGAACCATTCGGCTGCGTCGAACATGTTCTCTTCCCTGGCTGTTGCTCGTTGACATGGGCTTGCAACTTCAACGCACTGCAAATGCACTTGCTGCATTGACCATCACAGCAGACGGATACCGACTGTCAGTGCAGCTTGAGACACGCATTGAGTCTTGCTGATTCTGCTTGCTAATTCAGCCTGCAGAGCATTCTTGAGATGCAATCCGAAGAAGTTTCTCGTATGGCGAGGACACGTCCCACTTAGGCAATTTTCCATGGCATTTGTCGTGCTTTCCCTTCACCGATGATAGTCGCTGCAAGCTGGAAAAAGTTCCGCGGTATTGTGTACCTTGAGACCTCGAGCCAGATGTGTTCACTAGCAATCCTTCAGGGCTAGGCGCTATGCCCCGCAAGAGGCCACAGAACGCAGCTTTTACTGTCAACTAGGATTTACAAGTTCATAGGGATTTGTTGTAGTCCTTGCATCGTGGTTTCCATGAAGCCACGAGCACCTCCCAACTCAAGAGAAATCGGGCTGGCAATCTAGATTTGGGTATAGGCAGTTGTGAGATTTGCTCCAGGCAGTTTTTGCATGCAACGCCGCCTTTCACTCTTTTCGCCTGCAAAGTGTTAGGCAACAAGGCGTGACATGCTGTCTGCTTTGCATGGCACCTCTTCATGGCAAGCCGCCAAAGACTCGATTGGCGGCTGCAGCGGTAGCTGTCACATTTCTGGCAAACAGAGGTCAAGCTCCGCGAGTCCTTGTAAGAACTCTCCAGTGCTCAGCTTGGAGACCGGTGAGTCACACTGAGCTGGGTGCTTCTCAGGCTAAAGGGCAGTGTCAAACACAGAAGGAGGTTGCGCTGCTCATCGATGGAGATCACATCGGGCCCCAGTGGTTTCAGTCAGTGACATGGGCACTGCAGAACATGACCGGCCAAAGGCACCGAGTCACAGTCCACAGATGCCAAAACCTTCGTAATACGCCCCCAAGCTCACCCCTCTACCTGTCACAGTCACATACCTGCAAAAGATTGTCCTTAATGGCCTTGTACTTGGAGGCCAAAAGTGGCCCTCTGCTTCGGGGCCCCGCATCTGGCAAGCTCGTGGAAATCGCACTTGGCTCAGCATGGGCTTATCTTCCGAGCTGTTCAGCGGCAGAACACAACAAACGGCCCTGACCCCAACGATGCTGCAATAATCGACGCCGCCAACGCTCTTGTGGCGGCAAATCCTGACAGTTGCATCGCCATCGCATCCACAGACTCTGATTTTTTGGGTTATCATCTTCAGCTGCAGGAGCGTGGTGTAAGCTCAATGGCTTTGGTTCCTTACGCTAGTGACGAGAAGCGCTGCGCCCTTTCTGGCGTGCCAGCTTTGCGATTTCAAATTCCTTTAGGTTCTCCAAACGATTTCGCAGCGGCTTTTGAGGCAAGGTTTGGGCAGACCTACGATGAGGAAGCAGCACGACAAGTCTTCGACGAGGTAGGGCAAGCTCTCCAGGAACTGGGCTACCTGACACCGAAGCAACCTGCATTCCCAACTGTGAGGTCTCTGGCGACATTTTTCCATGCGAATCGAGTGCAAGATGTGCAGCTGTATCCGTGGTGCGTCGCAGCCTTCCTTGCAAGACCACTTCTGGAAGAGGCGATTCCAAATCCAGGAGATCTTTTCTTTTTTGAGGCGCGCAATGGCTTGGTATGTTATGCTGTTGCGACGTGCGTGCTAATCCAGCAAACCCCGAGCCGGTGTTGACGGATGGAACGTCTGTTGTTCAAAGCGTCCTGTTTGCTTTCAGCAGCCCGTGAAGACCAGTCATTGGCTTGAGTACTTCTTGGATGATGTGACATGCGATCAGTGTTAGTCCTAGGATCAATTTTGCAAGCTGGGGTCTCAGACTTGGAAAGGGCAACTGAAGCTTTTTCCATGGTAAGACACCAGCAGTTTCCTTTCAAGTGAGTCATTTGCAGATGCCTTGAAGGCAATGGAGGGGCGGAAACGGCCTGGCACGTCGCGCTGGTGCGTGTTGCGCGCAGCAGCTGGTGAGGAGCCTGCAGGTCATCGCCTGGCATTTGCTGTTCTCTCATGGCTCGGCTATGAGGTGGCTTTCATCATTTTTGTCTCTGATGACGGGTTCGATGCGGAATACATAGGTCAAGGAACTGCTTCTTCTGGAGTTTCGCCGTAGTTGTTGTTTGCAAATTCTTTTGGCAGGTCACAGGCTGACTGAGGGGCTGTTTTGGCTCTGATTCGCGGGGGTTGGCACCCGTACGCCCTTAAAAGAATAATCGAAGTAGGTCAAGAGGGCAAGGTCCATGCCGCTGGGAAGGCGTTTAATTGCATAGGGTTTGTAGGGTGCAACATGCCCGGATGGCTATTGGCCAAGCCCACGCCCTGAGCTTTCGTGGCCTTCTCAAGCATCTGAAATGTGATGTTAAAGCTTTGGTTCTCATACTGCGATGCACAAAAAAGGGAGAAGGATCAACCCGCAAGATTTCTCAGGACTCATAACTAGTTGTGTGCGCATGGCGAGCATCTGTGTGAAGTCAAGGCTTGGCTGCGTTTGCATTTCAGACTATGCACACAGGTGCAGAAAGACCAGCCTGCGGCTCTTTGGGAAGAACTGCGCGCTTTCTGGCGCCGAAATGGCAAGTCACTGCGGATCAACTTGAAGCGTGCGAGACAAATTGCGCCCATCACTCCGGACAACGAAAATGATTGCGAGGAGCCTTGCCTTCAGGATGTTAGAAGTTCTTGACCATGTGATGTGCACGGTTCATCAGGAGAGGCTACAATTTCTGGATGAGATCTTCAGGGACAATGCGGTCCGGCAGCAATGGCGCGCGCCTCCAGATGACCGAGATAGCCGACTCTGGTTCACGGCTCCAACATGCAGTTCTCTTATCAGGAATAACCCTCACTCTTTGATGGAGTCGAAACTCGGGGATCATGCAAACCCTTGCCTAGAAGGCGGTTCAGCCCTTGGAGATACTCGTAGGTGTGTGTGTGTGTGTGTTGCCTGTTCAAGGCTTACGAGACAAGGCTATTTGCGATCAGCAGATGCTCCACGCGCAGAGGCGGCATGCTTGGAAGCAGATCATGCTATGTGTCAACTCCAAGCTTGAAGAACATTACTGATTGAAGGTGATGTTGGCCATGTTGGCTTTGCTGCAAGATCGCGGGATTGAGATGCCCAAGCACTCCTACGTGCTTCGTCTGCACGTTGTCATTTTTCTGGGGCTGCAGGCTGTGAGCACGTGAAGTGGGCTGCTGTGTGAACTCTGAAAGCTGCATACAGTCAGGTGCGCGGCTAGTCGAGTACTTAGCATACTGAGGTTCTGACGCACTGCCTGGCACAAGAGGCGATCTTGCAAAGAAGCAATCCCCTCTCCAGAGGTTGAGGTGCTCCACCTCAGCATTCCGCGGTTTTGGCACAAACTGAGCCGGCCCTTCTTCTTGCGGACTTGTTGGTCTGGGTGCAAAGTTCACAGACTGCCAAGTTATGCCTGCCATCAAGGTGGGAATGGGTTGATCGCCTTGGTCACTGTGCGTAGTAGGGTATGCGTCACAGAGTCAGGGTCAGAATGATCCGTCAGGCCAAAGCGCATGCATGTCTCAGGGTACGCGACAAAACCACATTTGTGGACTGGATCCGTTTTCCATGCGTCATGGCTGAATGGTGCTAGCCACTCGTTTCCCACAGCGCCCTACTAGTACTCAGGCTCAAGGTCTGTAGCTCAGCACTTGATTGTTGAAGATCCGAATCTGCTCCAAGCATGGCAGCTGTTGAGGGCGAGTGGCTCATCAAGTTGGAGCGCGGCTGGAGTGCGTGGATGGTTGGAGAACAAAAGTTCCATGGACCTACAGACCAGCCTTTCCGCTACATGTTTGGCAAGACAGAGTTTCAGGTCGAGTTTCACAGCGAGACGGAGGGTACCTCCATGAATCTGTCCACGGGCAAGGCTCGCCCGCTGTGCTTCGTCCCGAAAGGTCAGGCGCCACCCATGGAAGAAGAAGGCGAAGAAGTCCAGCAGTCTCAGGCTCCGGCCGCTGACAGCTCAGCAGACAAGCCCATGCAGGCCACAAAGGCCGATAGCAATTTGCCGACATGCTACTACCTTGCAACCAGTGCCACCCAGTCGTATGAGGGAGAGTACCAATGGATGATTGAGCTGGAGAAGGGCTGGAGTGCATGGATGCCAGGGAACGAGCCCTTCGATGGCAACACGGATCAGACTTTGCGTTACACCCTTGGCAGGTATGACTTCGAATGCCATTTCGAGGATGAGAGCCACGGCACTCAGACTAACTTGACGACTGGCAAAGTGCGCAAGATCCAACGACTGCGAAAGGGAGAGTCAGCTCCAGCTTGGGAAGGTACAGGTATCAGAAGGCGGCCGGCGAACGGAACCGGTGCAGCAGATGTAGGGGTGGCCCCTGCAGAATCTGCAGCCATGGCTGCGCAAGCCCATCGAGCAGTCCGTCGCACTGCTGCTGGGTATCCTGCAGCTACTGCAGGTGCGCCAGTGAAGAGCGCGCAAAAGTTTGCCCTCCGTACATCCAAGCCAGCAGCAGCTGCAAGACCACAGGTGTCTGAAGCTGCTCATAAGGCCACGGCCGCTCCCAGTGCCCCGAGAACCACCGGACCACCCACGACCTCAGGCGGCAACGTCCCTCGCTTCATGCGGCCACTCAAGTCCAAAGCCTGAAAATTGCTAGGGCAGCAGCCATAATTACCTTGCTGTTTAGATTTCAAGACACAGAGAACTCGCTTGCTCAGGCACTTGCCCTGAGCAAGCGGAAGACGTGTCAAGAAGGAACTTGCACGTAAGTACCTGATGTTTGAAAACCGCAGCACTTGGACAATCGAACGATGTTCGAGCGCGTGCGACCTTGACGCAGAAAGCACAACGCTTTCTTGCTGTGGTGATCATTGTTACAGGTAGCGCTTCCTAGAAGCATAACGCTACCGACGTACCCCGAAAGACAGGTGGTAAACAAAGCTCTACGCAGTTCCTGTGGTTCCGTTGCTGATTGGATAGCCTACCATCAACAGCCTTTGCTTTCCACTCTTGAATCTGCAGGGAATCTAGACTCTAGACGCATGGTGACACGTGTTGCAGTGAGAGACTTGCTTTTGCTCCACATGACTGAGCCCATTTAGCTGTTTGTCTGTGCTTGTGATCACACGTGACATGACGTAGCCGGAACATCACTGGGACCTGGGAATGACATCACGTCGTAATCCCAATCTTGTGTAATCTTAAAGCATCTTCCAGCCATGGCTGCAAGCTGAGGACGGGTGGCTTTTGTTGGAAGGAAAGTTGTTTCACCACCGAATGCATACTGTGCAGGACTCTGTCAACAAAGAAAATGCCGATATAGGTGCAGCTTACAGAGCTCTCCTGGCAAATATCCTGGCACTTCAAGTCTGCATGCCAGTTTGCATTAAGCTTGGCTCCTGCATGTTCCTGCTAGCTGCCGACACCAGGAAGATGTGAATGCAGTCGAAACTCGGAAAGTCTGCTCATTGGCTGCCGTGCAGTTTGTGGTTCGAGGGGCTGCGATTAGACTTGGCATCAGCTATGGACCAGCTCCGCGTCTTCGTCCCAGCGGTGCCGCGCGGTGCGAGCACCCAGCCGGCATTGCCAGCAAAGCCGGTCCAGCCAGGAGTTTCCCAGCCGGGGCCTGCCCTACCTGGAGTTCCCCACCAGCCAGGGCTCCAGTCAAATATGCAGGCTGTGTTTGTGCAACGCTGCGTGCAGGGACAACTGCAACAACTTGCGCCTGTGATGTATGACCGCGTACCAGGGTCACCTCAAAAACCCAGATGGATGGAAGCTCCACTTGCTGGGCCTGGGAAAGAGGCCAAGCCTGCATCGCCCAGTCCAGTCAGGCCTTCTCCTGATACTATTGTCAAGCAAACCCATCCCGTTCACGCTGGACCAATTCCAGACTCAATGCGACCAAGCTCCAGCGCTTCTGCAGACACTGGCAGATTGAGCACATGCAGCGCACCTTTGACTGACAGCTTTGTCAAGGCAAGCTCGCCTGTGCCCACAGCCGAGGCAGTCAAGCCAAGCTGTAGTGAAGCAGTGTCAGATGACATTGCTCCTGGTGCTCCAAGCACTTGCAAGCCCTTGTTAGATGTGGAGTGCAAATCTTGGGCCACAAGCACTTTCAGTGCAGAATATGGTGCCAGGGACTTCAAGGACCCCGAGCCACTGCAAGAGGTGAAGGACACTCGCAGTCCATCCCCAGATGTAAGCAAGCCTGCTGCCAGACTTCTTGAGGTTCCCGGCCGAGATGGGAGAGCCACCAGTCCAAAGCAAGCCCTCACAGATGCATCCCGGTCCCCGAGTTGTCGGACAGTCGGTTCAGACACCAGCAGCATCCGGGATGATCTGTCTGGAGAAGAGGTGTACAGTCGGACCGCTTCCCCTGAGCCTACGCGCCAATCTGGCAAGCAGCAATTGGCCGAGCTACTCGAGCTCTGGAAAACAACTAGGCACGAGAGTGGCCCACTCTCCATAGAAGAGTGCGATTGCATCGAGAACATATTCTATGACACGATGAACCCTGACCGCGTCAAGATTGTGGAAATGCGTCGAGTCGTGCAGCCAGCTTTATTGCGACGGTTCTGCACAGAGGAGCAAGACTCAATGGAGCGACAGGCCCGGCAGCTGAAGACCCACAAGCAGTTCATGCTGCTGCATGGGACACGCTGGGAATATGCTCCTTTGATCGCTGAAAATGGGCTGGACCCATCCTGCGGTCATCTCACAAAGGGGAGCTGGCTGGGTGGCTTGGCTGTGAAGGCACACTCCTACGCTTCGAAGGGGCCCGGGCCTGAAGTGGAGGAGGATGACGGTCACAAAGCCCGACTGTTTGCTTTGTTTGTTGTCTCTTGCGTGCCAGACGTGAATGATGGAGATGATGAACGATCTTTTGGAGTTTGGCGCATGATGTCTGCACGTCGCATGTGCCCGGCCTACCAAGTCATTTATTCCGCCCCAGCAGATGTGGGACGTCACAAAAGGCCCCTGATAGAGCCGCGCGCGAACAAGGCTACCCTTTTGCGCAAGCAGAGTCATGATGGCACAGGCACAGAATCTGCAGGGCCCAGCTCCTTCAGGTGTCGGAGCGTGAGTCCACCCCCGCGAAGCCGCTCACCAAATCCAGATGCGTTCGCAGAGGTCACTGGCAGCTGGCCGCTCCCTGAGGGACGAGGCCTAGGAGCATGCACATCTCCTGCCCTCAAGGCCAGGATACATGTGAGCCATAATCTAAACTCCTTCAAGGAGTTAATGATACAGGGATTAAATAGGGGACTGCTACAGACTGTGGGGGGTATTCCGGGGACACTAGGAGCTTTGGTTATTGCGCATGTGAACTTGCGTGAACATCATTGGAGTTGTAGTCTTGCTACTTGTGCTTGCTGACAGGTGCACCAAGGGAGACCATCGACTACCAGTGAGTCGCCAATGAAATTACGCGTGCACCCCGAGCGCCCGGGTAACAGTGAGTCCCCGGCCAAAGCTCGCAGCCAAACAGAGCGGCCGTCGAACGGTGAGTCTACGGCGAAGCCTCGGAATCACCCTGATCGGCCTCAGAATGATTCCCCAAACAAGGGGCGCACTTCGAATGGCACCGCATCGCATGCTCCCAGCCCAGGTGTCCTGAAGCTTCACGAAGTGAATTCTTCAGGAGCCGGGAGCTCTCCAGCTCGGGATGGACGACCTGTCAACCTGGCGCGCACATCGCCCGCGCTGAAGGTGAAACAGGACGCCCGTTCCTCCAAGAGCAAAAAGGATGCGAAGGAGCTGAAGGATGAAAGCCGCGATGCAGGGAAGGATCGAAAGCCGCCAGTGGTAGCGGTGCAATGGGAAGTGCAGGGAGATGACGGTTGGATTCCTTTCAGGCCGGGCTGCAAGTTCAAGGATGACCCCGGGACGATCCAGCACATTTGCCATGGAAAGTTTTGGTATGCCCTCGTCTTTGATGAGGATGGCCTCACCGGCACGCAGTCCAACACCCATACTGGCAAAGTGCGGCAGCTCCGTCGTGTGGTACCAGCCGAAGCCAGCCCTGCTGATGATCCCAAGTCAGGAGACGCAAAAGTTCAGGAGAAGACAAGTACTCAGCCAGCACTCCCAGCCACTTGTCTGATTTGAATTTAGCCTGCTAGGTTAGGCCCTTGTCCTGACTCACATCAATCAGCTTGCGCTGACTGTTTCGCATTTCTTGAACCTTAGCCCGGTGTTAAAACTATTGTGTCAGCTTCACCGAGGTTGGGGGCTGGTACCCCAGCTTGCTGAATGGGAGCACAGCTGTCAAACAGGCTCCTGATGCAGTTCGCTGATTTATGTTTAGATTTTTGGTCCTTCCTCGGGATTTGATGGTCGATGAACAAACTACTGTTAGTGCGAGTACTATTTTCAAGCTCCAGCGTGACACAACATTCATTGGGGAAGGAGCCGCCTCCTTCGCATGACGGTTTTTCGGACAAAAGTCCGCCCAAGCCGTTTTTCTCGAAGGCTGATTGGCTAATGCCCTGAAGCTTCACATGTGTACAAGTTGACCATGTGTCCACACAAGCTTGGACATGCTTCTTCTCAATGTCGTGAATCAGGAAAGCTAGAGGCCGTTGCATGACGGATGCGCGGCCTGGCCCAATTGCTTACATGCCGCACGGGCTCAGCCAAACCGCCTCAAGCTTGTCGGTAAGACTCGCCGCCTGGCTTGACTGGACAAAAATCATTTGGCGAGTTTGTTGGGAAGCACCAGTTTGATACTTTATGCAAATAAGTGTGCTCAGTGTGAGGCTCAGACCTCTGTAGGAGGTGTAGGAATACAGGAGATGGCCGCCTCAGTGGCTGACTCAAAAGAGCAACAGCCTATGTTGGAGAGCGTGCCCACACCAAGCCGCAAACCGCTCCCTGTCCCTGCTGCATGCAATGCCAGGCGAGCAGATCGGCGCCATGTCACGGTGCCTGTTCAGGCGCTCTTGGGCACCAGCCCAAAGTGCACGATGGCTAGAAGCCCGCCCAGAGGTTCAATCAAAGCATGCCGGCCAACAAGCCCAAGCCCCTGTGCAAAGCTCTCCAGCACGGAGCGCAGACACAGCAACCCATCATTCGGGCTGTCCAGCGATTTATGCTCCCCTCTCAGTCCGCCCGTGCGTGCTGTGAAGACGCTGCGATTTCAGTCGTCAAGGTCACCATCCCCACCAATCTCCCGTGAGGCACCGGAATCGACCCTTGCAGGGCTGCCAAAACCGAAGGCAAGAGCGCGGACGCAAAGTGCACCGCGGCGCAGTGGCGACCCCTTCAATCTCTACCGCTTTGTGGACGCGCAGAGCGAGAATGGCACATTCGACCGGGCCCTGCGTGAAATACAAGCAGGCCGAAAATCCTCCTGCTGGATGTGGTTTGTCATTCCTTCGCCACCTTACATGAAGAACAATATTGAGCATGGGAGCAGCACAAACCGCAAGTACGCGATCAGGTCAGATCAGGAGGGCAAGGCTTATCTAAACTACGAGGCTGACGGTGTAGATTTGCGCAGCAACTACTTCGCTATTCTCTCTGCAGTTTGTCAGCATTTGATTGCTGGGAAAGCAGCTCGATCAGTGATTGGCAGTTTTGATGAGCCCAAGCTTGCGAGCTCCATCATCTTCTTTGAGCGGCTAACCCGCAATGAAGACAACGAGTTGAACGGTCTACTGCTGAAACTTGCCGGTCTCATGAACCTTCAGCTAGCCACGGGAAATTGACCTGAAATGCGCTCACAAGAGTTGAGCGCTTTCAACGGATTCGTAGCTGTTTTTCTGGTTCAATGCAGAGACAATCTCTGCAGGACCGACTTGCTTCAGCATCAGAGGGACATGTTCAAACGGCCACCTCCTGCGCACACACACACACACAAAAGCACAGCACATACACAGCTTGCTAGTTTGCTGCAGTTGTTTGTGCCTACATTTGAATCAACGTGAAGCCGCTGGGAGCTTGGCAGTCTATGCACAAGGTACAAAGTCGATTGTCCTTTCTTGTACTTTGGCAGGCGCATGCAGCAGCTGGGCGTCTACCAAGAGTCATCGCGGCTCACGGGCTCAGAAAAGACTGGCATAGAGGAGTGATGCTGCTAGCAAAAGTTTTCCACGACCTTGCTGCGTTTAGCTTGCATTTGAGCCATTTGGCTTGGAAAAGATGGTAAGATGCATGCCATGTTCAGAGGTCAGGTAAAGGCCTCCGCTTCCACTCTGTAGATTGATGATGCCCCACGTTATACTCGTAGTCATTTTAGGTCCTTCTCTCCAGGCTGTGTGAACCTTCAGACATGGGAGGCATTCATCTTTCCAGCAGCTTGGCAGAGGAGTTCTCAAGAGAGACCGAAAACACACTCATGAAGATGCCTCCACATGATTTGCTCGCGACGTTTGCTTGCCTGGATCTCAGTAAGCTGCACTTCGCAATGCTACCAGCGCTTTCTGCCTGATCTCCCCGGCCCGTTGCAGAGAAGCTTGAGGTTGGCCGGCCCCTGCTGGAGCTGCCGCCATGGAGAAAGGACATACGCAGTACTGGTCAGCCCTACATCAGATCCGAACGTCTCAGCAGACACAGTTCATTTTGTGTTCCTCCCATGCTGCATGCCCACGCATGTTCTGATAATCTTAGTGACCTCTGCTGGCACATTCATTGCCTGCATGCAGCTTCCAGGATATTGCACGAGATGCTGCAGCCTTTCCCTTAGTGAGCTAGGCAGCTCCATGTTCTGCGGTTTGTACTGCGCAGGAGGTTTTTTTTTTGTTATGTGCCATGCATTATTCAGGCTTTCTTGCCGCATCCCTTGAAGCTCGATGGCATAAAACTGGTCAAGAAGGCGCTGAGGGTGTAAAGTCTGGTAGTGTCTACACCAAAGAAGGGATGCCGTAGGCAGGCAGTCATGTGTTCCCGCATCATCTAAGAATGACAGAATTTGGAACTTTCGAGATACGGTCAGCTAATTGAATTGCATTCTGCATCGTGAATGAAGAATCCTACGGCGTAATTCTCTGAGTGTTGAGGGTGCTGAACGTCATCTATGAGCCGCGGTTCTTACACTGTGATGGAGGAGTCACAGCTTGAAGCGCAGGCTCGCTGGGCTGCTGTGACGGGTTTGCGGGACCCGTTCTTCTGGCAGTTAGCGGAGCGCTCAGATGCGCCCAGCAACTCATCAAGCGTGAAGACACTCCTTTTCTGAGTGCAGGGTTCAAGTATGCTTCTTTGCGTAGCAATCTTCTTGTCCCATTATGTCATCTTGCTGGCCGAGGTTCGCTTGCGGGCCCGAGCCATCGCTCCCGAGCTGCGCTTGAGGGAAGTTGCAGCAGGGCGACCCAGTTCCGTTTGCTGCGCATGTCTTCGCAAGCCTTACTAGTTGACATGGTCATTCTGAGCATGCTCCGAGGTTCTTCTGCAGAGCGCTGTTCGTGTTGCCCTCGTGGACGACGCCTTCGTCAGCGCCATGGGCCAGGGCCCATGACTATGCAGCGCGTGCGGGTACTTGACGATGAGCAGACAGCGCCCAAGAGGGCTCTAGACTTCCAGTTGCACTTCAAGTCAATCTGGGGGTCTCAGGGGCCATAGCCGAATGGCTCAGAGAGCAATAGGGCTTCGCTGACGTAAAGACTCTGCACGCAGTTTGTAAAAGCCAAAAGGCAATCGACGACTTTACTCTCTCACTTTACACAAAATCTAGCGGCTTCATGGTATGGACTGAAGGTCTGCGACAATGAATTTAGTCCCAAATTAGCGTGGCTAAGCTTGAATGCCAAGCATCGCATTTTTCATGCACAGCTTGGAACTGTCCCGCAGCCCGTCGCTTGGACGTGCTCATCTGCTGGAGCCGCGGTCTGCCACAACCTCAGTCCTGTAACGTCTACCAAAACTTAAGTAAGTAGGTCATCCACCCAATATCCAGCCGCTTCGCTGATTTGCTGTGTTTCCTCTTTTTTTGCCTCTGGTCTGCGGCTTCGCGTCGCTTGTCTAGACGTTCGGCTGCATCTCTGGCTTTTTGAGAGTCTAGTGCCTCCGGCTTAAGTGATTGGACAATTAGACAAAATATTGCTGTCACAATTCAAGAGGTTTCCGGAGATTGGTCCGGCGGCACGTGAGCGCGATGTTCCATGATCTCGGACGAGTTGTGCAGTCGTTTCGGTTCGGAACGCAGGTCACTAGGACAGGCCCATCATGGGGCGACGACGCGCTCTATGTTTGCTGGCTCTCTGGGGCTTGGCCAACGCAGTGGACTGCAAGGACAGCGAGCTCTTACGCATACCTGCTTCAACATATATATATATATTAATATGGTATACATATTCACATATATATATATATATGTATGGAAGATTGAGAGCCTGCCCTCAAAGCCATGAGCCCAATGCTGCCAGGGTCAGGCAGCCGGAGACAAGCTCTGGATGTGCCCGGACGTGGACCTCGTGCAGTGCCCTCTGTCTTTTGCTCGCACGGGCTTTGATCCAGGATTTGTGCAATGCAGCTTGGCCTCTCAGTCCTGCGGAGTTGTGAGGATGCATTATTCCCCACCCTGGCCTACGGGCTGATAGATTTTAGAAAGACACCTGACCCGGCTAAACATTTTGGAGTGCGGATAGCACTCCTAGTTAGTATTGCACATGCGTGGCTGGTTGGGAATCAGCTTATGGATAGACAAGTTTGTAGAGATTTGGCTTTGCAGCTGTGTATGCTCAGCTGAATCCAAGGAATTGTTTTTCCACCTGCGCCACGCTATGACCTTTCCGAGGGTTGAGGGTTAAGACATACTTGTATGCACGTGCAGTACCAGGCCCACCTATCCTCCTTGCAACGTTAGTAGCCGGGTGTCCCTGCCGCGCAAAACCGCAGACGGTCCCTACAATGTTCAGCTCAGCACGAGCATTTTCAGAGCACATGTTAGAGCGGGGATGCTCCAAGTAAGATAGCTGATTGTCAAGCAACATGCATGCTGCCAATCAGGTGGGGTGATCGGAAAGTACTGCATCTCTCTCGGCCCATTCTGCGAGCCTCGGGCATGAGACAACTCCAACATCCTGCCGGCCAGCCTGAGATCGGCTATCTCGCGTCATCCTGCGCCCCCTTTAGACTGGTGACGCCTCAGGATGACATCAAAAAGTCGCGAATCTCTGACGCAAGTGTTTGCTCAGCATGGAAGAGATCGAAATAGATGGGCCATGTTCTGCCAGGCCCAGCACTTCAGAGGCTCGGGCCTAGTGTGTTTGAGATACAAAGTGCAAGGCAAGAGCCAGCTGTAGGAATTTGACTGGACACTAGTTACGATCCACCATTGCATGAACTCGCAAGCACCCAAAGACTCTTCGGCATGGGCCCGAGCCAGGAGTTGACCATTTGTTGCAGCGCGTTGCTTCGGGTCGGGCTGGATGTCCGATCTCTGCTCTTCCAAGCGTTGACCTCAGACTTCCAATGCTTTGTGTACTGCGGCAGACTTGAGCCAAAGACCTCGTTCGTGAAACAGACGGGTTCTGAAGACATGCTGAGGACATGCTTCGCGTCATCGCCCGCGGCTTCGCTTGCCCAAGTGCATTTCAGGTCCAGCAGCCAGCTGCACTTGATGATGCGGCAGTAGGCTGTGTCTTCTTGCAGGGACGCCGCGAGACTCGAGTCGTTTTCCGTAGACTTTAGGCTCCGAAACTCGTTCTGTTCCAGATAGCCTGTGTTGTCGAAGCGAATGACTTACAGAACATGAGTTAGCCAACGCTCATCATCATTGGGTAATTGCTTGGCGACATTGGGTGCTCGGCTAATCGCGATGGCTTGCTGACGCTGCAGTCAACAAGGCCGACTTGGTGCCAAGCCAGCGAGCATCTCAGAAACAGTTGCCACGCAATTTCGTGGCAGGCACGTTTTCCAGTCGTTCCAACAAGATGGCCCATGACACCCGGCTGCAGATCTTGGTGCCACGGCCATGGCAAGATGTCTTCACACTAAATATCTGGAAATCATAAACTGTATAGCCTCTTCGCACCGCCTGTTCATGTCCTGACTGAATACCTCATCGAGGCTAGAAGAAACTTTTTCCGACTTTCTTCCCGTGGAGTGATCATCAACGAGCGCATGTTCGTGAAGGGATCAACCACGGTGGCCACTTGGTCTGAAGGTTGCAGTACTGCAGCATAGAGTGCTTTGTTTCACAGTAAGCAGCAATGTCTTTCGTGAACGTCAGCCTTGCAAGCAGCTCTCCAATTTGCCTGACGCCACTCCTTGCCATTCCTTTCTGGAAGGTGTTGATGCCCATGGTACATGTTGCAGCACGGAGCTTCTTCGACGCGACGCTCAGAAGCCCCCGCTTTCACCAGTTTGATGGTATCTACCATGAGGGCCCTCCGCCTGGTTGTACAGCTGCCGGACTTAAGACATGGTGAGTGCTAGCAAATGCTAGCAAGCAAGCATAAGCAAGCCAAGCAAGAGCTTCGCAGCAGACATTTAAGGACGATCCTTCTTATCCCACGTGGCGCTTCACGCCTTCGCTTCGTCACGCATCTCCCTCTGGGGCGTTCCTGGAGCTGTCCGAGGCCCAGAAATCAGAAACAGATCCGATTGCAAGGCTTTGCCCAGCTTTGCACATGCTGTTTGCCGCAGCTTCAATACCAGCACCTAGGCATGTCAACTTTGTTAAATAGACGCGGTAAACATCATCGTATCATGATGTTGAAGGACGATAAGGGAGAGGAAGATGTGGATTCCTACTACATCAGTACTACATCCCTCACAGCCTGCAGATATATATATATATGTGTACATTATGTAAAATTTTTTATGCTGCACATTATAGATTGTTACACATACAAGTCATTGGCAGGTGCTGGATGACCTGGTTTCGATTTCCACTCGCCGTGAGCAACAAAATTTGCGAGATTTTCAGATGGCAGCCTCTGGCTCTGCAGCCAGAACCTCTGCACCTTGGTACCTCTGGCAGTTCCGGTCCTAAAGCCATCTTTACAGCCCAAGCCCTTTTTGCGTGCCAGCATTGCATCACAGGAAACCACTTCACCACTCAGCATGGTAACTCAATCGGAGGCGTCCGGTTGGAGACAGTCCACGCTTCGAGTGCACGGACTCCACCAGCGTGGTGGAGACAGCTCTCTTCATGGCAAGCCTGCACCGCTACGATCCACGGGCTGATCGCTTGGTGGCTGGGCGTGACGAGACTAAGTTGGTTTGTGCCTTGCTGCCTGCTGCACGTCTTTGCAGAGGTCTCAGCGTTGATTCAAGCACCACCTGGGCGATATGTCGTTCCCTGTCGACAAGCTTTAGTCATGACTGATGACTCGGAATCTTGGAAGCTTGTTCGTAGCTTAGTCTACGCAAAACTTGACTGTATTGCTGCGCTGATTCTCCGCTTCATATTCAGCCCCAAAGAAGCCTTTCAGAGGGCGAACTCTTCTCACAGCAGTTTTTCTACTCTACGCTCTGCAGCGCCAGTGCAGGCATCCAGCTAAGAGCAAGCCCATGAAACTAACGGACATCCAAGGTCCCATGGGGTCTGGCTCACATGCACCTTGGCAGGTGTTCAGAGTTGCAGTGCAGAAATGGCGAAGCATAAAAATGCTGCCCAGCAAGTTGATGCGCGCTGCCAAGGCGGTACATTGAACAGAAGCTTCTGGCCAGCGGCGGCCACTTTACTGCAATTTGTTGTTCAGTGGTTCCACAGGTAAGAATGAATCCTGGCTGAGTTCTCTGCCTGGCGATGAGTTTAAGGCTTTGAAAGATCAAAAGAACCTGATCAAGAGCACATAGCCTGTGGTTGGGCGACAGCTGTCTGTGCACATGTGCGCCTTGGTCGGAATATGTCGGAATATTGCTAGCACAGAGAGTATGTGTGTCCTTGAGAAGGTGCTCTGTCTAGATTGCACGCGTGTGCATTACACTGTGTTCTCAAAGGCTGCTGGGGCTGAATAGATTGAAAACCTATGCAGCACTTCCAATGTGCCAGGATGATTTGGATCTGGTGGTGGTTTCTGCATGCCAGCGCGGACGCTTGGTTTGTTTGGCAGCACACCGGCTACATTGTCATCAAGATGCCACTTTATTGGCTGTGCCTTAGATGAATCTGCACCTGTGTTGTACAGTTCGTGATTTGTGATTGATGGATGCCAGGCAACTGGTTGTTCAGGCCCCGTGCGCGCAAAGATGCGCAAAACGTAAGCATTGGGAGGGCGTCTAGTCTAGCATTATGCTACATATGAAGTTATTAGGTCTTAATACGGTTGGTTTTTAGGTGAGTACGCGGAAGCGAAGGTGCCGTGCAACGCTGCGGATTGGAGACTCTGCCTTGGTCCATGACGAGCTGGAGCTGGATCAGGGACTAGCTAGTTGTGCTACCATCGATGCCAGCCTTCTACAACAGCGCGCTCGTGACAAGCTGGAAGCTTCGATGGCCAAAGATGCTAGCAATTTCGAGGGGAAAAAAGCGCAAATGCTGGTGCGATCCCTTGGTTGTCCTTCTTGGCGGCGTCTCTCAGCATTCGAATCCGAGTCCAAACTCTCAATGCAAATTGAAGAGTACGTGGTGTTTCGTCGGTGGGTGGAAGAGTGCCAGGCGGCCCTCCTGGCATCCTGCTTAGCGCAGCTGAGGCGTCCTGGACGACCTTCCTTACCTAAGCAAAATAGAAGTGACCTGGTGTACGCACTGCCTGGCTCTAGCGCTACAAACCTGCTTCTCCTCATTTGTCTGTGCTTGATCGCTAAAGTTCTCATCAGAACTTCTCATTGGACCACAGTCCCTTTAGGGGCAGGTTTTACAAAAGAGGGAGAGAGCGTAGTGCGACGAAACAGTTGTGCAGGCAAGCGGACGAGGTTTTGCTGGCAGGCTGGAATGTCTGTCTCATGTGATTGTGCTGAGCAGCTCAAGGAGATGACTTCCCCTAGCATCTCGAGCCAGCAACACAGATGATGTCGAACAAGCATCTAAATCTAGGTTCAAGATCAATTGGTATCAGCTGAGTTTCCTAGGTGCAGCAAGGCATGCCAGTAGAGCTAAGCCCGGGGGGTTGTGCTGTTGCTTGTTTCGATGCGAATACAGCAGCTCAGCCCCTGAATGTCGGGGAAGGCAGAGGGGAAGCCCAAGCAGCTGGTCAAAGTCGTGTCAGGCAATTTTCTTTTACAGCCAAATTTGTCGGCTAGGCTGAATGTCAGGCTACTCCTGTCGACAGACTAGGAGCCCTCAAGGAGATATTCGGCATTTGCACAAGCACATCGCACCTAGAAAGAACTAGAGCAAAGTGGCACAAGCACTTCTGAATCATGAGCTTACCAGCACCTTTGTGACTCAATACTTGTGATGCGCTTGTTGGGTGCAAAGTCTCGCAGCTGCAGCTTGGCAACTCCGAGCTAACTTCAATACAAAAGCTTGGATGTTGGTCTATGCTACGTGCAAACAAAGCAATTCATGTTGCGCCACATTGGTCCATGTCGCGGTGCTTTCAACCCTAGAACATGTTTAGCTTTTGTCCTTCATCAATCCGGGCTCCGTGACATGAGTGGTTGTTGCGGAAGTGCAAGTCCAGGCGCCGAAGGAGCCGTGCGGGTCTCTGCCAAGGCTGGCTGCTGCTTACAGCCTGTTGAGAACACGTCTTTTCCCAAAACTTTCAGCCTTCCTGCCAGGGCTGCCCAGGCCCACAGGCCGTTGTCCAATGCTGCATGGTGCTGCACGTTGGGGGCCCCTGCTTTGCCGAGAGGATGAGGGCCATGCGAAGATTACGCGGATTCGTTTCGATAAGTTTCCTGAGCCATGTACAGCTGTTTGAACGTATGATAGCTCTGTGATGCCATGTGATGGTCTGAGTGAAGGCCTCAGCCGCGCTGCTGCCTCAACACCGGCCAAAGGCGTGCAAAGGTTTACGGCAAGCATGCAAAACAAAGTGCAGAGCATGGCAGAGCTGAAGCCATTGCAAAAGCTCGTAATTCCCCGCAAGTGCACACTGTTTAAGGGGCTTGCGCACCATGTTTGAGTTAAGCTTTTCTGCTTTGCAGGCGCTTGAGGAAGTTCTGCTTGATGTCTTGGGTGGCTCGTGTGGGCCTTGACTGCTTCGATTGGAATCTGGTACCAGCTGGCATCTGGCAGCAACCTGCAATTCAAGTCCCGAGGAGCTCCCAAGCTTCTTTGACATGTCGGCAGTCAAGGGATCACAGATTTGACATGTCCCTGCCGGGTGAAGTGTTGCAGGTACATGTCTGACGGAAGTTTCCGCGTGCAGGCACACTCCGGGGAGTTGTATGGAGAATTGATCAGAACCGAATTCATCGGAATCGAGCTTGAGATCGACAGGCGTTTCAAACAACTTGCTGAGCAGTAGTTCGATTTGAAGAAAGCTTGTTGGAAGCTTGTGGGCAAGGAGGGTGGTGTTTCTTGGAGAGAAATGTTCAGAGTGTGCGTACCGCTTCAGCCAGCAATCAGTGGAGAGGTGTTGCAGCACAACACTGCGTCCAGGAGCTGCAGAAAAGCCTTTTGGCAATCCTTCAGTCAGAGTTCAAGTGGCAAGATGCTCAGGAGCCGTGCGCTTGTCATTGGTTCGACGGACACAATCAGATCCTTGAGTACCAAGAATTTGTTGGAGAGTTGCAAAGGCCGTAAAAGATAACCATCTTCAGGGGGTTGGGTGCGTATTCAAGATTATTCAAGCACTCCCATCTTCTAGCAGGAGTACTCCCACGCACTTCAAAAATCAGAAGCTTGAGAAACGTGCGTGAGTGGGCCTGTTTGTTCCAAACAAGATTTGTGACATCTTGCCTCTCATCTGAGTCTCATCGCGGGCACCAGCCTGGACCACAAAAAAAGGTCGCCTTTGAGGCTTATACATCAGCAGTGCGGCGCCTGCCAGCGCCTTTTAATGCTTAGCGATTCCTTGCCGGAGTTCCTGTTATGACTCCTCAAGGGCAAGTTGTAATGCCACGAAGCTTGAGGCAAAGGCATGCCTTTTTGAGAGTGCTGTCTATGAAGATGAGTGATTACAGAAGGCGACGTCTCTCCATCCAGCACTTGTCCCTATGATCAAGTACAGGACGCCAACCGTCTAAGAACGTGTCTACAATCAGGAGGCTGTTCCACGGTTTTTCAACTGATGGTTTGGGCAACCCTGCCCAGGTATCTATGAAATTGGGCTGAATATTAGGCTAGCACAGGCCCTCACTTGCGTTCGCACGCACCAAGGGAGGTAACTAAATGTGTGTTGACATGCCAAGAAGCCGTCCAAACATAATGCGCTGCAGGACCAGCCTTCCCCACTGCTTCGTTGTGCTGCTGAGCACTTGGCAGGCCTGGTCACATGTGAGGAGCCTGATGCCTGACAGAAATTTGACAAAAATCCTGAAGATCCTGTTTATGCAAGCGCTTATGCAGAAACCATCCTGGATCCTAGAAACAATGTTCCAGTAAAATCTTCTTCGGTTCATCGTCACCGGGCGTCAAAAGGCCGCAAGCGATATGTTTGTCTAGATGCAGCAGTCGCATCGATCCATGAAGGGGCTTTCAGCGTAGCAGAGAGCCCGGGTGCAGAGTCAAGATAACACAGGAAGCTTTTCCACATCCCACAGGCACCAAGAAGCCTGAGAGTCATGAGAGCAGAAGAGCTTACAAAACCCGACGGTCTTCCAGGACTTCCGGCTGCTGAACCTTGGACGCTTAGCCCTGCAGGCAGCTGCATGTTTTGGTCGATCATGAATACACTGGGACTGTCAACGCTCCACCTGTCATGGGACTCAGATGGATCCAGGAAACCGCCCTTGCAAGGTGTCTGGCAAAGGTATGTTTGAATGTGCTCATCAGGTATTTGTTCCACGTTTTTTTCGGCCAGGGGCCAGAGGTCCTGGTCTTGACAATCATTTGAGTGCTGGAGCCAGCCCTGCCTAAGCCTTCTGCTTGCAGCTTGGTGCTAATGATTACGATTACCTGCATCCCAGCGAGAGTAGACGAACCTTGTCAAGCAGGACTCCTTGCAATTGCGCAGACTTTATCACGCTGGGGCCCGAAGCCCGGAAGCTTCAGAGATCTGCTGGAAGTGATGCGGGACGAACTGTAGGTAATTGGCCGTAGGTTGCTTGAGAGGGTGGTCCCAGGTCATTCTTGTGGGCCTCTTGCTGAAACCGCTCCTCGACTACTTCATGCACTTGAACTGTCAGCCAAGCCTGTTTAGAAGGGGTTGCAGGCTGGCTGGCACTCACATATCAAACTGGGCGGCAGTGATGCTTTGTTCTTGGGTTGTTTGCTTGGATTGCATGCCTCTCGGTTCACATCGGTTCACAGCAGCCATCCCCGA